ACAAATAACTCAAGCATTCCTTACAAACCTTGGACCCGACAATCTCAGTTGGGAGCTTGATGTTCAGAGAAGGCCAGAAGGGCAGGCAGAGTGCAGGGCTCCTTGTGAAAGGTGGCATCTTCAGGATGTCAGCTGACCAGGCTTTTAAAGCAAAGGTAAACCAGTTGGCCTGTGCACAGCATGGGCATGGGCACTCCGGCTCCTGGGCCATTTCTGACTGACTTTCAGCGAGGCACCGAATAACCGTTAATCCCCTTTACTGGGCAAGCATTCACAAACCTGCTGTGTTGAAAGACTGTGTTTGATGCTGGAGATTCAAAAATAATTCAAAAATCCCCTGCTTTAGCTATCCTGGAGTTGCCGAAATCTCCTGGCAGAGAGACACCTACATAATTACAATAGAAAGGGATCATGGAGACGTGTGCACAGTGCCAAGGGGTCTCTTGGAGCAATTCTAAACATCTAAAAAAATGATCAAATTGCAGAAAAATGGTAAATCAGTACGTAAATGTTGCTCTCACAATACGTTTAGCATTTTAAGAAACTTCCCAACTGTTTTCCAAAGTGGCTAAACCGGTTTTCCTTCCTACCAGCCACATCTGAGAGTCCCGGTTCTTCACATCGTAGCTGTTGTCTGACTTTCGATGGCGGCGGCTCAGAAGGGTGCATTGCGGTAGCTCATTGTGGTGTGAAGTAGGTTTTATTCAGCTCTTCTTGAGGTCTTTGCAATAGCAACTTGCATTATAAATCTCCAAAAGAGGATGGGCAATAGAGTATCCAAGGTTTCCTCAGTTTGGAATTCTTTTTTTCCTCCCCTTTAAGTGAGCCTGTTAAAGGCCTACTGTTTTACAGAACAGATTTTTGGGAAGCATTGCATCATTTAATGATGATATTATTTTTAGCTTTGTTCTCTGTGATATTTAATCAGGAACAAGTGTTTACCACACAGTGGTTTTGAATCAAATAGTGTAGATTCAGAGGTTAATAGGATGTAAGAGGGGAGGATGCTTAACAGATTAGCACTAGAACACTTTTGAAAGGCGGTTGTTCTCGTGCAACTAAATGTCAGTTTGTTTTTCTTTGTACTTGGTTCCCCAGCTCAGCCCAGATAGGCCCGGAGTCTCAAGCAGAGAGAGTGTGGGCTCAAGCTGAGATCCTGGCTACATTTTACCGATCAACACTCATTCAGATGATAATACTAAAGCCAACAAGCAACATGAGAATAAGTACAAATTTGTACTGATCATGTCTGTGCCAGGCACTGTGCTGTAAGGGCTTTTCATGGATTATCACACCAAATCCTCACAATGACCCTACAATGTGGGTACCATTGTAATCATTTTACAGATGAGGAAACTGAGGCCCAGAGTGGTCCGTAGCTTGTACACAGGTAGTAGGAAGTAGTGGAGTCGGCACTTGAACCTGGAGTCCAACTTCAAAGATGTAAATAAAGCACATGATAAACTTGGTATAGTGCCTGGAACCAAGCCACAAGGCAAGTAGTCAGTGAATGAAAGATAACATTATTAATGATTAAGATTGTATTTTTTTAAATTACTGCATGATGCTTTGTATTGTTCTACTGTCTTACGAGAGGCAGACCTTTTGAGAAGGGAGATCAAGCCATGTCATGTCTATTACAATGCCTCTATCACCAATGGTCCTGGGGAATGTTTGTCGAGGTTGGGTGAACAGTTAGTTACCTGAGAGTCAGAACCTCAATGTCAAGCTTAGCTCTTCAGGTACTCAGCTTGTGACTTTGACTTGGCTCAAGGATAAGAGAGATTGGGAGAGAGTTCCAATCTCTTTCATTGTACATCACCCCTACTTTTTTGTTTTTTGAACTTGGCTTCAAATCAGACCCTAAGATTAATTCTCTGTGTTAATTTGTGTACATTCTTTAGTCATCTTAGCCCTCAGTTTCTTCATCTGTGAAATGGGAAGAGTAGCCTTGCTGCACTATTGGCTATGAGAATACATAAGGTACTGCTTACCAAATGCTCACCTTAGTACTCAGTGAGTAGTTAAGCTTCTGGCTGTGTTATTGCTCTTTGGTTGATAAACTCTAGGCTTCTTAGAATTTATCAACCGTTTATTCAACAACGGTTATTGCGAAAACAACCGTTGTTGAATATATTAGTTTTCTGGGGCTGCCATAACATACTACAAATTGAGTAGCTTAAACAACAGAAATGTATTGTCTCTACGGATTTGAAGGCTAGCGACCTAAAATCCGTATGTCAGCAGGTCCTGTCCCTTTGGAGGGCTGTCAGGCAGAATTGTTCCCATGCCTCTCTCAAAGCTTCTGGTAGCCTCAGGCATTCCTTGGCTTGTAGACGGTGGTCTCCCCATGTCTTCCCGTCACCTCCCCTCTGTATTAGAGTCTGTCTCTGCTTTTCAGTCCCCCCTTTTAGAAGGGCACCAGTCACTTGGATTACAGCCCACCCTAATGACCTCACTTAACTAGATCACCTCTATAAAGACCATATATCTAAGTTCCCATTCTGAGGTTCTGGGGATAAGGGCTTCATCTTCTCTTCCTGGGGTAGTCACAGTGCAACTCCTAACACTGAAAATGATTAATAGTTGTATGCTCTAGGAAATGCTGAGAATATAACTTGGCATTTCTCAATGATAAGAGAAAGAATAACAGTAACATGGAGCAGAAATTCCTTCCTCCTCCACTGCACTTGACATTCAGAGCTATTTCTTTAACCGGATCCGGTGAGTAGTGTCAGTTTTGAGGAAGATCAACTTCTTCCTGCAGAGCGAGTCCCCAGGACCTTCGCCCTGTGTGACATTTCCCTCATGTGCCTTTAGAATTGCAACTCTCCCAATTCAAGTTCATGACATTTTCGCGGAGCCCCCCGAATGGAAATAACACACCAGTTCTCTGGCAGCCGGCATTCTTTCTTCATTTTTTATAGCTCTCTTCAAAACTCTCATGCCGTTTACATGTGATTTATATTCGTCCTGTGGTCCCTAAGTGGATATAATAAAAACAGATTTAGAATATTAATCTGGCATGGCCTGGGCCAGCATGGTCAAATACACATTATTTACTGGGGATGATGGAAAATTGAAAAGGATAAAGTGGGAATCGGTTCTTAGTGAATATTTCTTGCTCGCTCTCACAGCGCTGTTTCTCGAAGTGCAGTCCACTGGATTCCTCGCGGTGTTTTGGGAAAATGCAGATGTCCATGTCCTGTACCCACTTTGTAGATTCAGAGTCTTTGGGGTGGGGCAGAGGAGGATTTGCATTTCTAACGAGTTCTCCCAATATCCTGAGTGGTCCTGGCCCACTTTGCACTGGAGAACCATTGATCTTGGGCATATCACTGAGAGAAATGTGTTGTGTTATTTGAATTCACAAATGTGTTATGAGCGCCTGAACCGGAACCTCTTCGGGACTGAGGGTGAGCAGGGCCAGGCAGGCAGGTGCGGGGCAGGGATCCAGGGATGTGCTGGGGGCAGGGGGAGGAGTCCAACTGCCATGTCAAGGACAAGTGGGTCCCGTCTGTTGTGAGGTGACATCTGCCAAGCTTGATGAAATGACAGTGCAGATTTGAGGTGTGACAAGGGGACCTGTAAAGGTTGATGGCATACGTACACTTTGGCAGGTAGATTTTTGCCTGGGATTAGGTTTCCAGCAGCTCCAAAGAAGGGATCTGAGCATCCACCTGTATTTGAGGGAGACTTGGAGGAGGGTGAGGGAGGTAGGAGGGGCCCGGCCTCCACTCCTGGGGGACTGCAGCTGGGCCTCATAGCTTCTTGGGCAACAGTGGGAAAACTCAGATTTCTGACCTTGAACCAGCCCTTCTGCATGCTCCCCAGGTCATCTAAAGTGACAGTACCTTGGAACAGCATTTGGGAAGCACTGGGGCTATGGAAAAAACTGACTTTGGCATCACTGGACCTAGCTCTGTGGCCTTGACCTAACTCCATCTGAACCACAGTTTCTTTGTCTGTAACAGAAAGATGCAAATACCTTTTTTCCTTCCTCTTCTGCATGTTGTGAGAATCAGGGATAAGAGATGTGACACACTTAGCACAGTCAGCAATAGTAACTGGTGTTTCCAAACCTGGTGAGAACTGGGGTTCTGGGAAGGCATTTAGGGCAAGTTGTGCCTGACCACTGGACATACAGGAGTCACCAGGGGAACCCAGTGATTAGAATTGGGATACAGGAACTTGGCTCTGACAACAGTGGGTCCTGACTTTCAGAACTGGAACTGGAAATATAAGGAGAAACCATAATGATAAAGTTTAAATAGCATTTACCGTGCAGGCCTAGCACTGTTCCAACACTTTTATGAACGACTTTAGGAGTTAAGCACTGTTGTTATCTGTTGTAGAGATGAGAAAACCGAGGCTCAGAAAGACACAGTGATCATGTGGCAGAATCAAGTTTCAGACTCAAGCTCTCTGACTCTGGGTCTTCAGCAGTGGGTCCTGCCTATTTAAGCCCAAGTACAAGGTTACAGTGGCCCTCAAAACACAAGGCTGAGTTTTAAAAGTAAGGTGGGCCCTGGGAAACATGGTCCTGGATATTTCTTTCCCACCCATTTCTAGATGTAAAATTGTCCATCCCCTTTATAACAAAGTCAGAAAGCTGGCATTTTCCTAACAGAAGCTGAGCTGTGGTAAACCTGTTTTGTTGCCAAAGGCTAGAAAAATGTTCGCAGAAAATCTGCAACACAGAATTGTCTTGCATTGAAAATCCTTTGCCTGCTTTTTGTTTTATTCTTGGGTAAGACTTGACTCCTTTTATGGGTATATCAACACTTCAAAGACCTCTCTGACCCTCTTCTTTCTCTCCTTATTGTCTCACTGACTCAAGCTTCATTCATTCTCTACAAATCCCAATGTCTCATCAAGGTTTCCTACACCTTGCACATGACGTGCTGGCGTTAGCAAATGTATTTGTTTAATTCTGAGAGTGTTCGCTGGGATTTTGTCAGTTTGTAATCCTCTTCTCTTTCCCTTCTCTGTACTCCCAGGACATAACCTTCAGTAACAGGACAAGTCAGGCCAGCCAGCAAGCTGCCACGTCCTGCCAGCACCTTGTCAAGGAACCCAGCTGGACCCATCGCTAATCAGCATCTCTCAACATAAGGTCTCTGGGTCACTGAAGGAGACTAGAGCAGAATTTGAAATTTTCCAAAGATTCCCAATATACACAGACGGCGAAAGGATACTTAGGTTGTCTATACACAGCTCTGCTCTACTTGAGAGACATTGGGAGAAAATACAGGTGTCACTTCTATCCCAGAAGTCACACAAACAAGTTCTGCATTTGAACTTCTGCACAGAAAATGGATGATGGTTATTGAAACGGCCCAAACTGGTACCACAGTGTGCAAGATATAGCTCAAGAGGTAACCAGACAGTCCCGGCACCGAGGAATGGATGACTACAAATACCAGGACAACTATGAGGGCTATGCCCATGATGGCTACTATCGTGGCAATGAGTCCAACCCAGAAGAGGACGCACAGAGTGATGTCACCGAAGGCCATGATGAGGAGGATGAGATCTATGAGGGCGAGTACCAGGGCATCCCTCACCCGGATGATGTCAAGGTCAAGAAGACCAAGATGGCGCCCTCCAGGGCCGATGGCCTGCGGGGCAAGGCAGACCTGATGGCTGAAAGGATGGAAGATGAGGAAGAGCTGGCTCACCAGTATGAGACCATCATTGATGAGTGCGGCCACGGGCGCTTCCAGTGGACCCTCTTTTTCGTCTTGGGTTTGGCCCTGATGGCTGATGGGGTGGAGGTGTTTGTGGTGAGCTTTGCCCTGCCAAGTGCAGAGAAGGACATGTGTCTGTCCAGTTCCAAGAAAGGAATGCTTGGTAAGTGGAAATTTCCAAAGACCTTTCTCTGCATGACGGTGAAATATGGAAGGGAAAGAGCAGTACAATGATATAGCACCTGTCACTGTTAGGCTCCTTAAATCTATCACGATTCCCTTTCAACATTATCATTTTACATACAATTTGCCTTTAAGGTGTTTTTAATCTTAGAGAAGTTAATTTATTGGCTTAAGTTTACACAGCTGGAGAGTATCGGAGATTTCTGCTCAGGTCTGTCTGACTCTCAAGCTCATAGTTATTTTTCCAAATCTTGTGGCCTCCTTGAGAGTCTGACTTCCTTCTTCTTCCTATTAAACCATCTTCCATATCCAAGTGACAGGTACGTTTTGTGAGTGGTAGGCCAGGGGGCTCTTCAACTCAGTACTTTTCTCTGTGTCCTTCCAGAATCTGATCTGTCCCTGGTTTGTCGTGCGTATAAGTGTTCGTGGGCAAAATGCCTGTGTGTCTTGGGGATGAATGCCAGGCTGAGTACACCCACGGAGCCCCTGAAGGCTTTTGGGAACCACATCGTGAAGCACAGATGGATTCTGCAGGATGGAGGGCCAGCTTTGCAAACCAGTGATGAGACTAGCACCCTCAGAGCCAAGTGTCAGCTATCAGGGCTTGAAGCAGAAAGGATTCTGTGAAGTTAAAGAAAGAATGGGCACCAATAGAACGGCAGACAAGAGATTCATTATAACATAGACAAGGATTTGTCTTGGCCATTAATTGTCCTGTGAAACAAATCCATTCTCTACATGTAGAGTCTGTGCATTTGTTTAGCAAACCTACAGTTGCTGAGAACTTCCTGTGAATCAGGCTCTGACTCGAGACCTAAACGTGCTTAATGGCCCTCAACAACTCAAAGTCTATCTAGCAACTTAGCTTATTCATTCAACAAATATTTGTTAATTTGTATCCACTGTGCTAGTCTCTGTGTTTAGCCCCTGGGGAGAAAATAGATGAAGTCCTTAGCTCTCAAAGAACGTCTCTCTAGCAGGACAAACAGATATTAACAAACAGACTTATTTAACCACGGGAGGGATACACTCTATGGAATACCATGTGCTATTCTGGCCCCCAGTGCTTGCTTTCCAGCAAGGGTTGGCAAACATTGTATCCAAAGGCTCAGATAGTAAATATTTTAGGCTTTGTGGGCCCAGATGGTCTCTGTCACCACTAATCAGCTCTGCTTCTGTAGCACAAAAGCAGCCATAGACAATACGGAAACAAATGGGCATGACTGTGTTCTACTAAGACGTTTTTACGGAGAAAGGCCATGGGCAGGATTTAGCCTATAGGTTGTAGTGTGAGGGCCTCTGATACAGAATCAGTGTAAATAAAGTTGGGATGGAAACATTTTTATTAAAATCCTTGGGGGGAGCGGGGTGTTAAAAATGGTTTTCTCCATTTCTGCTTTTAACTGTAAGGACAATTTAAAATGATTAGAACTGTGTCGATATGACCCGGAGGAAAAACCAAAAGAGACCGGGTGTACACAAACAGAAGCAATGACTTTAGAAACAAAGCTGTCACCAGGAGTTTTTAAACACCCACAGAACTACAGTCGAGTTTTAAAATTATTATTTTTTAAAAATTCTGCTAGGCGACTTTAAGTTCGAATAGATGTTTTTAAAAGGACCCCAAACCCAATGCAAAGCAAACTATTCCTATTGATCTAAGCACTCCCAAGATGTTAATTTATTTTGTGGTCTTCTCACTGAAGCCCCTGGGTCCCTGTTGGTCCCAGTCAGCAATGTCAGTAATGATTTCACGCCCTCTTGGTCTCCCTGCCACCCTGGTGCCCAGCAGCCTCATTAACAGAAGCAGCAGCTTGGTCAACACTTCTGCTGGCTCCCAGGTCAAACGCTGGGAGTTAAGGGAACACGGTCTTAATCTGAAGAGCCCACATCTGTGCAATTTTGCTTTTGGCATTTGCCAAGAAGATGCCATGCTTAGACCCAAGACAGAGAGGCAGGCCATCTGAGCAGAGATGGCCTTCTGTGCACTTCTAGGGCCCCATTTGTAGTCAACAAAGTGAATGTCTAAGTGGATTGGGGAAGTGAATGATTGAACGGCATCATGAGGCCAGCATTTCTCATGTAACCTTGATAGTTACTGTGGTAGTTAAAGGATTTTTATCTCGTTTTATCCTCTGCCTATGTTCAGTAAATTAACACCAACATCTTCCCATAATTGTAAAAATACTTCCTAAGCTAGAACTGGGGGTGGGGGGACTAGTCTTATTTTCATGCTGACCAAAGGAAGGACAACCCACTTTCAGGCACGAGTTCCATTTTTGCATTCAGAATTTTAATTTCCTGGAAGGGTCTCGTCACTCGGGGTATAATTTATTGGCTGTTAGTTTTTCTTACCACTTGCAGTGGGAAGGCACAGGGAGTCTTGTGCTTCAGACAGTGATTTAGAACTTAACAGGGGACCCTGGGGCTGGGCGACTGTGGAGGACACTGAGGATGTCAGCTGGGTGGGTTCATTAAAACCCATTGTGAGTCAAATTTGCATAGCTGCTCAGAGATGGATGTGTTACTCTACTGTCACAAAAGATTCTTCTTTCATTGTTTTACATGCAAATTCGAGGTGAGCATCAGGGCAGAACGTTTGATTTATGAGCCACTTTTTCTGTAGCTTTGAATTCACAATGTCAGTTCCTGAGCGGAGGGGTCGCTCAGTGCTCCAAAGCCAGGCACAAAATATGTGCTCAGTAAACACATCTGGCGTAATGTTTCCTGTGCATTGCATTTGTTGAGGCCATCATAAAGACCTTCCGCATTTCAGGGAGAGGAAATGGGCTCCCTGAAGGACGGCTTGATGGGGGAGTGACAAGGTTCTGCAGAGCCCGTGGGACCAGAGATATTGCTGAGCCATTCGCACAGTACAGTCAGCTATCCACTTTCTTTTCTCTTTCTTTTTAATGTAAGAAAAAGATTTTATTTATTTTTAGAGAGCAGGCAAGGAAGGAGAAAGAGAGAGAGAGAGAGACATTGATGTGAGAGAAACACTGATCAGCTGCCTCTTGCACACACCCCAACACGGAGCCAAGCCAGCAACCCAGGCTTGTGCCCCAACCAGGAGTTCAACCTGTGACCTTTTGCTTTGCAGGATGATGGCCAACCAACAGAGCTACACCAGTCAGGGCTGTTGACTTTCTTTCAACCAGTCCTCCGTGTGTCCTCGCTCAACAACATGCACTGATGACATTTTGGGCTGCATAATTCTTTGCTCTGGGGTCCCTGTTCTGTTCGTTAGTGGGTATTTGGCAGCCTTCCTGGCCTCCCACTGGATGCCTGCAGCATCCAGCTCCCATTTACAACACCAGAAATGTCTCTGGGTATTGCCTAACGTCCTCGGGGGCACAGAATGACCTCTATGTGAAACCATTGCTTTAGATGAGTGTTCTCAACCCTGCCTGCCTGTTAGAGTACTGAGGAGCTGTTACACACACACACACACACACACACACCTGCTCTCGAGTAATTAAGCCTGAATAATTAAGTGAGGTGTGGCCATAGGCATTTTTTTAAAACAGCTCCCTGGTGATTCTGTTGTGCAGCCAGGTGGAGAAGTAGGTGGTTTACTCAGAAAGCCAGGGTCAGTCAAAGCAGCTGAGATGCCAGCATTTTTTGCTTATCGTGCTATGAAGGAGCTCTGCCCAAATGGCTTCCTTTTTGTGTTCGTGGAGGTGGCGGGGATATTTGCATTCATTCTGACCAGCATGAAAAAAAGAAGGGATTGTGGCCAAAAGTCTTGCTTGCATGTGCATCGTGCTTGACAGGTTTTCTGTGGTTGTCATAGAGGCTCTCATCTGATCTTTAAGTGACCCCATGAGATGGTCAGAGTGATGACCCCCCAGGGTATGTGATGAGGGAACTGTTTGCTCAGAGACCTTAAGAAACTCATGCAGGACTGCAGTTCCTGATGCAGCTCTCATGCCCTGTGTTGCCTCTCATTGGCACTCATGTTCACCGCGGGCCACTTTACAGCACTGGGTTTGGAAGGTTAGTTTTCTCACATGTTGATTCTTCATAGAAAGGAAAGGAAGTGATGCTGAAGACTCAGCCATTTCCCTGTACCTGGTCTGGCCTCAGTCACCTTTCCTTAAAGCGAAGTATAATGATCACACTACCACCACCAGGAGTTATAATTTGATGAGCTCTTACCTTGCATCCATGTTATGCTAGACTTTTTTTTAAAAGGCTTTATTTATTTTCAGTAAGAGGGGAAGGGAAGGAGAACGAGAAACATCAATGTGTGGTTGCCTCTTGAGCGCCCCCTACTGGGGAACCTGGCCCACAGACCAGGCATGTACCCTGACTGGGAACCAAACTGGTGACCCCTGGGTTCACAGGCGGGTGCTCAATCCACTGGGCCACACCAGCCAGGGCTATACTAGACATTTTATAAGTAAAATATTTATTCTCCAGTCCTTTACAGAAAAAGTTGGTTGAGCCCTAGTTTGAAGCATCACAGATGTCTCTCTCAAGAGGTGACATTTAATCTGGAAATTTAAGAAACCTAAATAAGAGGTAGCGAAAAATTTAGAAAAGTTTTTCCCCCCCAAAAAAGGCTTGTTAGAGAAAACTTGAAAGATATTTTAGTCAAAAAGAGCTTTTTATCGGAATCTGGCTTTGTCAGGTAAGGAGCGAGGGAGGTACATTTAAAGGGCATGCTGCTATAAATAAGTTTCTTCTGCTGGTCTCTATCCTCTTTCCTCAAATTCCTTTAGTATATGGTTGGTTTGATTTTAAAATACCACCGAGTTACTTTTATTTTTCTAATCCTTTGTCTTTCTCAGGTCACAGACAATTCTAAAACAGCAATAGCAACTTTTACTTAATTGTGCATTTACTTTTATGCCAGGCATCCTGCTAGACACTTTCAGCCCACTGTCCTATATATAGAGAGCACCAGTGTCTGAATTGTACAAAGCGGAAGCCACGATCACAGGAGCAGGATGGGCTGGTTGCCCATGGTCACCCTGC